GTCCCATATTAGAGTTTTATAAAAGCTGAATAAAACCCTGAAGCATAGGTTCTGACACTTTTCTCCTTGCATACCAGATCTCTAGTTGAGCAAAGGACCAACCTTTGGCCACCCCTCCTTGTGACCTGACTGGAACATTTACTACTTTAGGAGATCCAGCACCACACTCTTCTTTTCTTCTACTGTTTTTCCGTGTGACCATTGTTGCCAAGACAGAAAGTGAGAAGAAATCCAACATTTTAGAGTTGTCACCAGAGCAAATAAGTGGGGTAATACACATATTTATTAATTTCAGGTACTTATATAGCGCCGTCAATTTATGCAGTGCTTTACATATATATTGTACATTCACATCAGTCCCTAACCCTCAAGGGGTGTACAATCTCTAAGGTCCCTAACTCACATTCATACATACACATACTAGGGACAATTTAGACAGGATCCAATTAACCTACCAGCATGTCTTTGGAGGGTGGGAGAAAACCGGAGTACCCAGAGGAAACCCACGCAGGCAGGCACATGGAGAACATGCAAACTCCAGGCAGGAGGTGCCGTGGCTGACACCTGTTCCAGTGGCAACTGTGTAAGATGGGATTCCCTGTCACTTTGAGGAGATTTCTACTCACTTCTTGTTACATCAACAGGACAGAAAATTAAGGGAACTCTCCCCAGAGAAGGGGTGTCAAACTGGTGGCCCTCCAGCTGTTGCGAAACCTCAAATCCCATCATGCCTCTGCCTTTGGGAATCATGCTTGTAACCAGGGACTGACCATTTGGAAACTCGGGCACTGCCTGAGGGCCCGGGGTCAGTAGGGGGTCCCATGAGATGCCCCCGGTACATTTTTCATAGGCTTTTATCAGTTTGGGCAAGGACACAGGGGCCCCATGATCCCCTATTGCCCGGGGGCCTCATGAGTTGTCAGTCCGCCCCTGCTTGTAACTGTCAGCCTTGCAATGGGACTTGTAGTTTGGCAACAGCTGGAGGGCTGCCAGTTTGACACCCGTGCCCAAGTGGGAGACAAATAAAGGTAAAAACAGAATTTCTTAATTACCTATAACATTTTTGTCTTGTAGTTCATTAAGGAACACAGAGATGATGTTAGGTAGCCCTGCCATTTTTTTTCACTGATAATACTATATTCTTGTCACATTCAAAACGTTTCAGATAACAGTGGGGCCCCCCACGTAATTCGCATTAATCGTAATTTGTTTATTATCTTTTTTTTGGAGTACAATAAAAATTCTGCATTGTAACTTTATTTTATTGTATAATAATATACATTTACAAACTTTCTGCTGAGGTTCATCAAAGAGAACCTTTAAGATACCCATTTCATAGTTATATGGAGGGGAGGACCGTAGCTGTAACATTTCTTATGGAGGTTCCCCTGGTTCAGCCCTAATATTATGATAACAAAGATATTGACAAAAAAAGATTTTGGCACTTTAAGACTTTAATACCAATTCGACCTGTGTATGTTGTGTGTACTTTTGTTCTTTGTGCAAAAAAAAACAAATGTTATCAAGCTATTTCCTATGCTGGTCAAATGTTATTGATTTAGAATGGAAAATGGAATGGAAAATACCCCATTTGTCCACTAGATGGTGATAAGTACCTTAGGAATTTCCTGTGATACTTAGCACCATCTGGTGGCCCAATGCAGTATTTTTCGTTGAAAATTAAAGTGGTTTTAAAGGTATAATTAAAAAATAAATAAATAAATACACGTCTATACTTACCTGCTCTGTGTAGTGGTTTTGCACATAGCAGCCTGGATCCCCCTGTTGGCACTCCTGGCTTCTCTCTCCTGTTGGGTGCCCCCAGAGCTAGCAGCTTGCTTAAGCTCCCCTTAAGTGCCCAGTCATACCAGTGCGATTTTAGGAGTGATTGCGAATTGAAATCACAACTGAAATCGCATCTAATGAATGTGAATGTCAGTGTCTTAACATGCGCGATTTGTTGCAGCGTGATTTTTAAAGTAGTTCTTGCGTTACTTTTTCTGCAGTTTATTGCAATTTCACATACATAGAATATAACGGAAATCGCCCTGCAAATAGCAAGAAATCATTAAAAATCTTCACAAGTTGTAATAAAGTTTTCAGAAATCGCACCTGAAATCGCTTTGAAATCGCACACAAATCACATGATTGCGGTGTAACCGGTGACTTAGTGTCCTGCTAATGGTCCTGCTAATTCATTCTATATTATAGAGAGAGAGTCCCACACAAAGAGTGTGATTATTGGACGTTACAAGCCGGCAGCTTGCCACCATCCACACAAATTGTGAGTCAAACATGCCCTCGCAGATCCAATTTATATAGGTTTATACATTACTTTGTCTTTAAAAAACAAAAAAAATACAAATATTTAAAGTGGTTTATTTATTTATTATTGCCTTAAAGTGTTATTAAACCCACAACAGTAAAATGAGTCTGTATCAGGGGCGGGTTGACAACTCATGGGGCCCCCGGGCAATAGGGGATCATGGGGCCCCTGTGTCATTACCCAAACTCAAAAAAGCCTATGAAAAAGGTACCAGGGGCATCTCATGGGGGCCCCTACTGACCCCGGGCCCTCGGGCAGTGCCCGAGTTTCCAGATGGTCAGTCCTCCCCTGGTCTGTATATGCCATAAAGCATGCTTGCTATACTCACTGTGGAACCTAAAGGGTTAATCCTCCGCATTTTGTAAAAAGGCTGTTTGATCCTGTCTTCTCTGATCCTCCCCTTCTTTTACTGTCCCCAATCCATCTGTCATAGTGCAGAGCAGCAGTGGCAAGTCTGCACATGCTCTGTTTGGTTTGCATTGCTAGAGACCCACATGGAGGAAAAATATATTTGAAATATATTTGAAAAATATTCTTCCCAAATGTATTGACATATATTTGAAATACTACAATTTTGGCCGTATTCAATATATTTCAATATATATATACTGTACACTGAAATGCGTTTTTATTACAAAGTATATGAAATATATTTTTAAAAATACATTCAAATATACTGTATTCTGTATATACTGTAGTTCTTTCTGTGCTGCAGTGCAGTTTCACTTTCATTTACATGTCTCCTGCAGAAAGTGGAAGCAACACACTGATGAGCTCTTCCCTTTTTTGCCCTGATATCTCCTTCTATTAGAATGCTCCCTGCATTCCCACATGGAAGAAAAATATATTTGAAATATATTTAAAAAATATTCTTCCCAAATATATTGCCATATATTTACAATTCTACAATTTTGGCCAGTCAATATATTTCAATATATATATATATATATATACTTTATTTTTAAAGACATACAGTATATTTGAAATGTATTTTTAAAAATATTTTGCATATATTTTGTAATAAAAACGCATTTCAATATGCAATATATATATATATATTGAAATATATTGAATATGGGCAAAATTGTAGAATTTCAAATATATGGCAATATATTTGGGAAGAATATTTTTAAAATATATTTCAAATAAATTTTTTTTCCATATGGGGAGTCTTTTTTTCTTTTTGGGAGGGTGCATGTGATCAGCACAGGGCCAATCAGTTCTGTCCAGAATGAGGGTCAGGGGTTATGCAGCCTCATAGGATGGTCAGAGGAGAATGAAAACTCCTCCTACAAGAGGAGTTTTTATTCCCCTCTGGACACTGATAAAAGTCACAAGACTTCTATATACTGCTGATGAGAAAAGGTATTTAGCTGTTTATATTTACTAAAATAACTGCATTTCCATGTTTTGCGTACTGTGGGGGGACCAGATATAGTGAATGCAGGGTCCTGGGTTTAGTAACACTTTAACTCCCCCCTACAAATGTGTACTTTTTTTGCTTGGGAGAGTCAATAGGCAAACTCCCTAACTGGCAACCCCATAAAATAGGTTGCTGTTCACCCATAGAAACTACATGCAAATTTGTTCTGTGCAAATGGGGCAACATGGAATGTTCATAGGTTATATCCTCTGTAATTCAAATGTGGAAAATACCACATTATGGCCACTCGATGACACTGAGGAGCATACTTAAACTAGTTGTAAACACTTATACACTTGTACATATACCCAGTAAAGTGACTGGCCTCAGATGATACAGAGATTAAACAAATCCTACATAAGCTGTACTTGTTTATCTGTTGCCCTTCCTTCCCTACAGCTTTCTAAAACACACAGATGAAAAGATTTTTCTCAACAGCAGGAAACAGGGGGTGGGGATATGACATCACACACACACTGCAGAGCTAGAGCATACAGCTATGTGAAATCTGATAACTGAATGGATATAAGTGACACCCCTCCCCCTTTTCACAGGCTCAGAGAAACATAGTACTGATGGTATGAGTCATCTGCTGCATGCTGGAGGCCAGGGGGGTGTTTCTTGAGAGACTGAGGTGTTGGTCTAACCCAGGGGTCTCCAAACTGTGGCCCTCCAGCTCCTGAAGTACTACAAGTCCCATCATGCCTCTGCCTCTGGGAGTCTTGCCTGTGGATGTCAGAGTCTTGCAAGGCCTCATGGGACTTGCAGTTTCTCCATAGTTTGGAGACCCCTGGTCTAATCTATTAGCAGAGAGTCATGCAGATAGCAGAGAGAGGAGAGATCAGAGAGGAACCAGAGGCTGTGCTTTGAATTTAGACTAGTACACACTATAGTGGGATGTGCTTTGTTCACTTTTCATGTCTGAGGTTTACAACCACTTTGACTACTTGCCACCTGCCCATAGTACATTTACTGCAAATGGGCAGCACAGCCAGGCTGGGTGACTTACTGGTACGTCACCTGGCACATTCACACAAGCGCACAGCGACGCAATCCCATGACTGTTGTATCCAGCTCCTGGTTTTGTGGCCATAATGCAGTCTTTAGGTACAGGAACTCTCAGAAGCCTTCAATACCATTGCTTTCCACAAAATGCATCTCTCCTTTTATGCCCCCATAGCCAGGGGCATGTTCAATCTGAATTGTCCTCATATCCATACCCATCTCCATGATCAGTTAGTATGTGATAGTTCATGCTGTAAAGTCCTGAGTCACCAGGTTGAACACATTGCTTTCCAGTGAACTTTGCCACTTGCCCCAGTGCCGTTGGATCTCAGCTTGAACCTGAAATGATAAAAAGAATAAATAGATCATGATGGTTGTACATAGTATTGGCATTTTTAACCTCTTGATGCTTACATAATGCATATGTGTGGTGGCAAAGAGGGTGGTCTTTAATGTCCATGTATGGGAGAACTTTCCATGCCATAAGCATGCTAACTGTGTGCTCCTAGCATAGAAACCAAGGTGTCAAAGACAGCTTCTGGTCAGTGCTAATGATTGAGATTTGGCAGGACCAGCTCCAGATCATGTGGCCATTGTGACCGTGATCAGCTAATCCGAGAGAAGAAGAGAGGATGACAAAGTCTTGGGAGTAGCATAGCTGATAATATACAGTAAGCCAGTGTTTCTCAACCTTTTTTCAGTCAAGGCACCCTTTAAAATTATGGACAGTCCCGAGGCACCCTTTAAAATTATTGACAGTCCCGAGGCACCCTTTAAAATTATGGACAGTCCCAAGGCACGCTTTAAAATTATGGACAGTCTTGAGGCACTCTATTCTAAAATGAGGTGCCTCTAGACTGTCCATAATTTTAAAAGGGCACCTCATTCTAAAATGTGAAAAACTATTCTAATAGTTTTATATAACACAGCAACATCCACATATGTAGGACACCCAAAGTTAGAGGTCAGTTATTCTTCCAAAGCAAATACACTTTTCCACCCTGGTACTGACCAGTATTCCAGGGTTTCTCTTCTCTCTCCGTTTTTATCCATCACTGAGCTAATGTGACCCCAGCACTGATGGAGAGGGGCAGGGGAGGGTCAAACTAGGATGTTGTGTGGCAACTGACATCCTCCTTATCAACTGATGGCATCATAGGTTGTCACTGGACGCTGGCGGCTAGAAGGTTGTAATGGTGCACAATGAAAACCTGTGGCTTTGTGTAACTAAAAAGCAGGCTTGTTCCACTCACTGGCTTGTATACAAGTTTTGGGTAATTTTTAGACATTTTGCCAAGGCACTCCTGATGAAACCTCAAAGCACCCCAGGGTGCCTGGGCAGCCTGGTTGAGAAAGGCTGCAGAAAGCAATGATAATGATAAATGATGATGACAATAATTACTCACATCTCCATTAAGAAAGCAATACAGCAAAGCCACAATGAATCCCTGGTGGAAAAGAAAAAAAAAATTTAAGGAGAATGCAACAGATTTTTTTTTTCCCTCCATATTAGGATGCCAAAAATGTCATAGTCAAACGTTCCAATACCTCCAAGGAATAAAAAAAAGCTTTTTAAACTAAGAAATAAAGGAGGCAAAAGCAGACTGAGCTTAAAGACGCAGGTACTGTACATGGTCTGATGTGTCACCTCCAATAAAATATCCCTGGTTAGCACTGCTGGCCTATTTTCAGCTATCTATATAGAACCAAATAAGTGGGTAACGAGTTAATCTGCTAGCTAATGTTTTAATTTTCTAGCCTCTGCTGTAAAAATGGACCATAGCTCATTTAACTGGAACTGCTCCCTCAGCTGCTGTCTCCTACAGATCTTCGTCAGGTGCATCGACTCAAGCAGTTATGCCTCTGGTGCCCCATAGGCTGTGGCATTTAGGGCACCTTATTTCAGCATCACAAGCTAGCTGGCTCTGGGCTTGTAATAGTTCAACCTACACTGACTCCATACTTACCACTCTGAAACTTGATTATGACCCTAGTTAGCCTGCCGTAAACTTTGTCAGTTCCTGGATTACTTTCTAGCCTGCTGCCAATCCTGACCTCTACCTGTACCTGGATTATACTTATGTGTCAATGAAAGGTTTTATCATCAAACAGTAAAGATGACCTATAATAAATGTCCGTATCGGGGTATTCATATAGATGATGTGTCTGGGTGTAGTTGTAACATCATTATAGCTGCTGTCTTATTGTTAACAAAGGTTCCTGTTACCCTTGGAAATGAGATTAGGAATTGTGGAGAGGATGGAATACACATTCCATACTTAGGATTGTATCTACTCTATCTTATTTAATCAAAAAAAAGATATGGAATGATCTTCAGTTGCATGTTCTCTGCATTTGAGGGGGACCTTAAGGTTTGGCAGAAGGTTGTCCATATTGGGTTTGAGTGGAAGGCCAGGTTTCAATCTGTTGAGGGGTTAGGGTTGAAAATGGGATTGTCTAACCATGTTTGTGCTTTCTGGTGGGTCATCTATGGATAGAGAAAGAGGAAGTTTGACAAAGGTTTTTAAATATCTCTACATTGGCTTTGGGAGGGGGGATATATTGCCATTCAAGGCTTGTAATTTATATAGATAGTGTGGTTTGACCTTGCTGCGAATATAGTGATTGTTGAGTTTAAATTAAGTAAGAATCTAGCTTTCAATATTGTTTTGTTGCAGGTTTCATTGAGGAAGAACTTAGGAATTAAATGTAGAGAACAAATCTAATTTTACCATTAGATTGAATATTCAGTGTATGATTCCTTGTGCATAGTAATGCTGTAATGAATTATGTGGCCTTGCATGGTACTTTTATGATCTCTCTAAAGATTAGTGATTGAGATTTCAGCTTTATCGTTGTGAAGGAAACATTCCTCTAGAGGTCTCCAAACTTCCTAAACAAAGGGCCAGTTTGCTGTCCCTCAGACTTCAGAAGGGCCAGATTGTGGCCAGTAGGGGTGGAAAATGTTCAGCTATCAGTGGGAGTAAGCAATGTCTCAGGTTTAGTGGCCAGTTGGCATAAAAAAATTACATAGCACCTACGGCCAGTAGGAGGAAGAACAGTGCCCTTATCAGTGGTATCAATGGGATGAACAGTGCACCAACATTGTTATCAATGGGAGGAATAATGCCTCATCATTGGTATCAGTGAGATGAATAGGGCCCCATTGTAGGTGTCAGTGGGTGGAATATTGCCCCATTATTGGAGTTAGTGGGAGAAGTTACATCTCAATGTGGGTGTCAGTGGGAGGAATAGTGCTCCAAGGGCCAGATAAAGGCTAGCAAAAAGCTGCAGTTTGGAAACCACTTCTCTAAAACATTGGTTAGCATGTGCGTGTGTACAGGATGCGATATATAGGAGTCATCAAGTCTCTAAAAGGAGTCACGGCCAGTCCCAAGCTTTAGGTTCAGAATGAGACAATTTTGTGGTCAGAACATTGGCATTGCTGTATGGCCGCATTTCTGGAGTTGGCAAGTACAGTTGGGGTAGTGAAAAAATTATCAAGTCAGGTGTAGCTGTTTTTGGGGTATGAATAGTATGCAAATTTTTCTGGCCCTATATTGTGGGTGCACTAAATATTTGTGAGTTGAAAACTGTGAAGGGTTTTCACAAAGGCCTATATATATTAATTTTATTGGACACATTCTTTTATACAGTATGTATATAGACACATCTGTATAGGTATCTATCAACTTATCATTCATAATAAAACACAATTAATATAGGTGTAATTCCAGTGATCATTTGATGTCTATTAGTGAACAATATATAATTCAGTAAATTACCTGATTGGATCCCAGGACAAGTTCAAAGTACAACCTGGCCCAAACTCCAATATGTTCAGGAAACAAAGCGAAGACAACATAATGAATTCCAAACAATGGGATAAGGAGTAGAGTTGATTTAGCTAGTCTCCTAAGAAAGATAATGATCCAAGCATTAGATATACAAACATACATGATCATTTTTTTTCCAATTTTCTTACTTCCTACCCTCCCTGAAGCCCCTCTTGGATTTTTTTTTTTCTTAAACAAAACCCGTACACAATTTTTTTTCCTGCGGACTTCAGGCAGGTCTGGAGACTCCGCAGCGGCAGTGTACTATCCTTCCTCTACGCAGTGTGGTGTTGGCACTTCTCAGCCCAGGAGTACTGTAAGACCAAAGCATATGATGACTTCCCCCAAGGGGTGTGTCCATGACAGCCTGGACACACAGATGGTGGGTAGAATGAAGTTGGGCATCATTCAACCAGGACGATGAGTGGCACAGGACCTCAAAGCAATAAGCCCTAGGGGGACAGCATCAGAAATAAGTATTCTAGCTTTCTAGATAATCTTTTATCTTCATAGATGCAAGGTAGCATATATCAAAAAATATATATTTTACAGTATACATCTAGAGCAACACTTTTAAGGCAGTTCACACAAAGTCCAAATTAAGAAAGAGAATGCGGTGCTACAACCCCCATCCATTGTTTTAAAGGATAAGGTTTAATTTGCCTGTACCTGGGCCCACGCTGTACATACTGCCCAATATCAGAGAGAAAGTAGAATTTCGGCACTGGTGCAAGTCTAAATAAATTTACATAGCCTTTATTTGTGATCCATCAAGTCATAAAAGAATCCATTCCTATTCAAGACGGATGTGTTTAAGTCCCATCCCTGGGCCTAAATCATAACACTATGACAAAGGCCCAGAGAAAGGGCTGATGTTGCCAATGCATGGCCCTGGCATTTAGCCAACAGCTTGCCAAGCAGATCTTGCGAAGGACAGGCACAGTTGGGTGCATATTGAATCACAGTTGTTGAGCAAGTTGGCACAACTTTGCTAGCTACAGATGAAGGGAGCAAGGCACAAGTACAAGGTCAGAGTTTAAGACTATAAAAAAGATGACACCAGTGACTCCCCTAAAACTGGAAAGTGGTGTGAGTGGTTTTGAAATGCAATTGTCAAGTTCAACAGTGGTTGGATAATGACCCTAGCCTTAGTCAATAAATGGGGATTTCAATACAAAGGAATCATAGGGTTTGGTAGGAAAAAAAAACTATTTGACCATATCAATCTTTTTTTGTTGTGCCCAAATTCTTTTTAAATGATCAATTCTTAGATTTACCAAGGGTCCCTGTGTCTTACATCCACTAACGTTGGGGGGACAAGTACACATGCATTTAGTATGTCACAGACAATTGCTGTATATAGCAATGTTGCTATGGTGCTGGATCTTTATCTAGCCCTTGGGGCACTAATCCTCTCACTGATATGAGGCACTATTCCTCACAATGACACCAATGATGAGGCTCCATTCCTGCCACTGACCCCAACATAGGAGATAATTCCACCCACTGACACTAATAATAGGCATTATTCATTTTACTGACACCAATGATGGTGCACTGTTCCTCCTACTGAAACCAACAATGAGGCACCATCCCTTCCACTGATACCAACAGTGGGTCATAATTCTTCCAAATGACACCAACGATGGGTACTATTCCTCCTACTTCATAATTCTAATAATAATAATGGGGCATAACACTCATATAACTGGTGGAACACTATTCCTCCCACTGACACCAATGATGGGAGACTATTTCTCCTCCTACTGTCCACAGGAGGGGCATAATTCTAACAATAATAATAGGGCATAACACTGATATAAATGGTAGAACACTATTCCTCCCACCAACACCAATGAAGGGACACTATTTCTTCTCCTACTGACCAAAGGCGGGGCATAATTCTAATGATAATAATAATAGAGCACTGATATAAATGGTAAAACACTATTCCTCCCACCGACACCAATGAAGGGACACTATTTCTTCTCCTACTGACCAAAGGCAGGGCATAATTCTAATAATAATAATAGAGCACTGATATAAATGGTAAAACACTATTTCTCCCACTGACACCAATGATGGGACACTATTTCTCCTCCTACTGACCACAGGCGGGGCATAATTCCAATAATAATAATAACAGAGCACTGATATAAATGGTAGAACACTATTCCTCCCACCGACACCAATGATGGAACACTATGTCTCCTTTTTTTTTGGTCTAGAAAAGTCCAAAAATACTGGTTTGCAGTGTTTTACCTCGTTTTGCCGCATTTTTTAGTGTTAGCGCATTTTTATAGCTAACAAACTCCTCTAGAAACCCACTAGTCCTGGGTTTTTTTCCAGCAAAAAAACATCCCAGCCAAAAAAACGTTGATTACAGTCTATGTGTGTATGGACACATAGGATAACATGCTGGGGGTTTACTAGCTGCAGAAAAAGCATCAAAATCCAAAAACAGCAGCTGTGTGCATGAGGACTAAATGTTAGCTGAGTCCCCATTAATAAATCAACAGCCATATGAGTATATCCAATACATAATATTTACTGAACATACTATAAATATATAGCCAAAAACAAAAAAGCAGTTCAAAAAATAAACACTAGACCCATCCCTCAAAAAGACAGTATCTTCTTCAGAAAATGAATATTCCCTCAAGGGAGTAATCTGTCAGTAAGACAGCATCCATGTCGGAAAATAAATATTCCCTCCAGGAAATAACAACTTCAGACCTGATAAATATCTCATTTTTATGTAGCAGCAAAGCATAAAAATGCAAAGTGCATACATACTAAATAGGATTTTTGTATTGTGAAACCTTTTCATGAAATCCCATGAGGGACGCAGAAAGTCTTTTACTTTTGGATTATACTGTCCCAAACAGGGGAATTGGGCACTGGTAAATGAAAAAGTGTAGGCCACCAAAGATAACCCCCCACACACATAGCTTAGTTTTGTAGTAAAAGATTACCAAGACATGATCATAAACAGAGGGCTGGATGGATTTTGCAGTAAATACAAAAATTCTGTTTTCTTTATGTTCCATTGAGAGACACTGACCAAATGACGGGTGGGGAACAAAGCAAACAAATGCTAACAGGCCCAAGGAAACAACAGATCTGGGGACTGCTTGCAACTCAAGCAGTCACTTGAAGGACCCTGAGAACGTGTGAAGAGATGACCAAGTGGCAGGCTTGAAAATGCAGAAAACAGTTGCTCAAAGACGAAAAGCTTAATGAGCCCACATAGATCCAGTAGAGTGTGCCTTGACAGGAAAGTTTGGAACCTGACCCTTGAGACCATAAGCTTGAATGATGGTCTGTCTAAACCACCCAAAGATGGTGGAATGAGAAACCAGTGCACAGTTATGAGGACCATCTGGGATGACAACCAAGGAATCAGTCTTTTGGAAAGAAACAGCTACTGAGAGATACTCACCCAGTCCAAACCATATGTAGACAATGGAGGGAACTTTCCTTTTGGTGAATTGGAGCCTGACAAGAGGGATGTAAAAATGGTGTCTTAACTGAGATGAAAGGCAGAAACTATCTTAGGCTAGAAGAAAGTCCTAGGCCCTAACACCACCTTGTACCTATTGAAAACCAGAAAAGGTTCCTTGCAGAATAAGGCTGCCATTTCAAACACACACTTTGCAGAGGTAAAGTCTACCAGGAATACCACCTTGTGGGTGAGAGTAGATAGAGGAATGTCTCTAATGGGCTCAAACAGTGGTTTCTGAAGTGCAAAGACAGACAGATTCAGATCCAACTGAGTCAAAGGGGAACTAACAGGGGAGCTACTGGGGAGGCTAATAAGCATTTGAGGGGAACCAAGCAGCTTGTCAAGGTGTTTCCAGTTTCTTTAAAGAAAATAAATGTGTAACAGAAAGGTATTTTTTACTTTTTCAAAGAATTGAAACAGCACTAGTAGAAGCAACAGGATGATCCTCTAGTTTCAGAGTGCTGCACACCACACTGATAAAACTTTGTTTTTTTTTAATTTGGGAAATTGACTCCTTTTTTTGGAACAATAACAGAAGACAACTCCTCCATGATAATGTAATCTCGCAAAGACTGACGGGACTCAGAGTCAGACAGAGCCTGTGCAGCTGATGAGTTAGAAGCCACTAAGGCTGTGGGCAGATCGGATACAAAGTCTGCAGGGAAGGGCATGGGATTGTAGCTGTGCCTACTGCAATGAGTTGGCAAATAGTTGGTGGGGATTGGTCTATAAAGTCTCACATGATACCCAATGCAACTAAAGAATACTCTGATGAAGGGATAGAGGGCAACATGACTCTAGCCTGCAGACATTGGCCTTACTTGGTACTTACAAAACCCAAACACCTGGCAGCAGATGAGGGTCAGATGGCCAGAGGTGACTGACTGTAGGTGGGCAACAGGAAAAAAACATAGTTTAGAGCTCCACATAGCTCTTTGCAAGCAGGAGCAGCAGCATGTAGATGTTTCCTCTATGCCAGGTGTAGGCAACCTTTAAGAGGTTGAGATCTACCTTGACAACATGGAGGAAAGCAAAGATCGCCTTCACATCACCCCCCCACACACACACACACACACACACACACACACTGTAGTGTCCTTTACCCCCTCCCCCCCCAGTAGTGTCCTGTACTACCCCCCAAAAACATTGTCCTCTGCCCCCCCTTCACATCACCCCCCCACCCACTGTAGTGTCCTCTCCCTCCCCCCGTAGCAATATCCTCTGCCCCCCACAAAGTGCCCTCTGCCCCCTGAAAGCAGTGTCCTCTACCTCTCCATCCCCTATAGCAGTGTCCTCTGTCCATTTCTCATCACAATCCCCCCAACCTCACTGTAGTGTCCTCTGTCCCGCCTCCAACAGTATCTCCTCTGTCCCCTTCACATCACTTCCTACCTGCCAACATGGGTAAATCAGAGCAGAGATAGGGCAGTGTTAACATTTCATAATAACAAGCTGGTGATTGGCTGCTTGGACTGCCTAGCAACCAATCACTTAGGCAGCTCCTGTTCCACCCTCCATCCAGCACTATGATGTCTCCCACTCTCTGCTCTGCAGAGAACATGAGAGCAGCGGAGGCTGGGGGAGAGGCAGAGCCATGGTCACCATCCACCTGTTGGCTCACCATGGTTGACCAGTCGATTGTGATGGACGGTTTGCTGACCTCTGCTCTATGCTGTATGGCAGGAAACAGAGTGGAGCACTCATGCGTAACACTTCATCCAGCAACTGACGACTCAGTCAATGCTCAGTCCCAGAGCATTAAGCCCTTCCTTGGTGAAAATTGGTAGGAACTGGGTAGAGGCACCCAGTGACCAATGTACACAAGGAAGCTGCTAATGCTTGATCCAACTGGCCTACTCACAGACTGAATCTTTAAAAACAGGGCAAGTGTTGAGCCAGTGCCAGTTACTCCCGACCTGGAAAGCACTCCACAACTAACTTGTTACCAGAACCAAGTCTGGAAAGAACCCATGTAGAAACCAGTGCCTAAAGGTCACTTCCAGGTTATTCTGATAATGTCCAGTCCAGTGCAGTGAAGTATAAGACACCAGCCCTAGCAGCAATGTAGAGAATTATGAAGAAAACTAGGTAATCTTTTAATAAAAGACATCATCCTCCTACAACACTAGAAGAAAACTAAGGTACACTGGTAGTGAAAGGTGTAATCCTGGACTAGCCTGGAGGTTTTTGTTCGTCAGTGCCCAGTTTTCCTGCACGCAGTAGTCATATTAAGATAACTGATGGTAAGAAAACAGTGAAAAGTGTGTCAAAAATTAATCCATCTAAAAATAAAGAAAAGTCCCAGAGGGTGTGATGAAACAAAGAAAATCCTGATGACGTTACCTGTGACGAAACACGTAGGGCGGAGACATGTGCACACACTACCATGATCATCTCCATGCAGATAATTTCCTGGCATTACTTGAACCAAGAACCTGAGTGCTGCAAAGGCACCTGTTTCTATTGACTATTATTAAAGTTACTCACATGTACTGCTGCTTGTAGTTTTTACTGATGTCAGGAGATCTGATCTTCTGCATGAGGATTCTGATCACATTGAGGAATATGATGAAATTGAGCTAAAGTATAACACAAGAAAATGAACATGTTAGAGTTGGCAAGGTAATCTATGGCTCTTCAGCTGCTGTGGGTCATGCACATTTGCTATATCTTTGGACAGTTATTGACCAGTCAGTTTTTCATCATATCTTAATATATGCGTCATATTGCACGTACTGTAAAGTTTACAAAAAAGAAACTCCTTCCATTGTCCCATTGGTGGGATGTTCCTTCACTTCCTAAAGTTCAGGAAAACCCCCTTTTCAGTCAGTAGTCACTGAAACAGGTGACTTCCCATCACCTCTTGTTCTTATGTCAACCATAAAATTTTGTGACAAATTTAATATGAGTAGTCACCATTACAAATGGTGAGTGGCTTTAAGTCTTTAAACCGGGAAAATGTTGGTTTAGGCCCCTTTCAGACTGGACGGACCCATCAGCGGATCTGCTTGCTCAGCAGGGGATGTCTCCGCTGATCTCCACTGAGCAAGTGGATGATAGGTGTGTGTTCGATCCGCTGCTGCAGAGCTGTTATCTATGTGACAGTTGAATGGAAATGGACCGCCAGTCTGTTTCCACCCAACTGTCATCCAATCCACCAAATGGATGGGGAAAGGATCTCCATCTGTCTGTTTTTAGCGTACAGGATTGGAACAGATGCCAGCTAGTGTCGGTGAACACATATTCGCTGACATCCGCCATTCCATAGAGAGCTATGGATGGTCCGATCGGGTCCACCTAAAAAATGACAGGCAGAAAGGGGCGAGTTACCTTCAACACAGCAGAGAGAGCTCTTGTTGTGTTTTCTTTGTTTCTATCATGGGCATAAATCCTACCTGGTCTAGGTAAATAATTCCCTGAAGATGATGAGAATGTGAAAAAAAAATTATTAACGTGTACGTGTGAACCCATCTGGGCCTTGGGCTTTACTTCTCTTGGCTTATTATCTGGTTCTAATTCCTGCTGGGTGATGGGATTTTCTAGGGCAGAACTGGATTGGCCATCAAGGGTCAGAAGATTTCAGTTTCAAAGTCATTTTCATATGCGCTCAAGTCGCAAGTCCACACACTTGGTGAAAGCTATTTAGAAAGGTTGCATAGATATAATATAGGTCTGTAGGTGGTTCTCAAATTAAATTGAAGTCTCCACCAAAAATAAGTACGCTATAATTAATGTCATTCAAGACAGACGATGGCTACAGAAAATGAATTTAATTTCAGTTAGGGAGGTATACCCCACATGGAAGGAAAATCTATTTGAAATCGATTTAAAAAATATTCTTCCCAAATATATTTCCATATATTTGAAATGCTACAATTTTGACCATATTCAACATATTTCAAAATATATTTCAATAAATATGTATATATTGGGGTACCGGTAATTTTTTTTTTACTAAAAAGATAGATTAATACATATTGGCCAAGATTTATGAAGAAAGATTATTTATTTGCAAAATTTTATAGGAAAAACACTTTTTTTCAAAATGTCTGGACTTTTTCATTTATATAGCATGTGAGGTCCCAATCATGTGATCACTGATTGTCCAATCAGTGATCACATGAATAGTAGTAAGCAATAATATAAAAAAATTAAATAAAAATGTAAAAATAAATTTGGAAAAATTATAATTTTTGGTTAAACTAATTTGGGTTATTTGTTTTTACTGAAAGGATAGATGAATACATTTTGGCCAAGATTTAAGAAGAAAGATTATTTATTTGCAAAATTTTATAAGAAAAACACTTTTTTTCAAAATGTTTGGACTTTTTCATTTATATAGCTAAAAAAAAAAAATCCCAGTGCTGAATAAATACCACCAAAATAAAGTTTTATCTGTCTCAAAAAAATGCAAAAAAATACATTTGGGTACAATGTTGCATGACCGCGCAATTGTCATGCAAAGTGTTATAGCGCCGAAAGCTGAAAATTGGCCTGGTCAGGAAGGTGGTGAAAGTGTCCGAACTTGAAGTGGTTAAAGAAATGGGGGCATGCAGTTGTCGCCAAGACAGGATGACACAAAAATTCTAACCCTCCCTCAGTATACTATAAATTTGTTTTTGCTTGTGTCCTCTGCGGAAATATTTTCTATCACTTCCCCTACTGGCCAAAAAGTTTGTATTTTTTGTGAAATTTTTTTAAATTGTGGGGGTGGATGTATTAATATTAAAACAAGTTGTTAACATCTGAACTTACATATATATTTCCTTGCCTGGTTCCTCCCTCCCTATTTTTTTAATCTTTCCGCCATCATAACATACTTTTATTTTATACCCATATATTTTTGATTTTGCCACTGGGTCTCTATGCTTTCCTATGCAATGCAGGCAAATCATAGCTAGTGGATAGGGCCGGCAGGGTGTTGTACATAGTTGAGAAAATGAAGCAGGCTCTGACTTGCTGCTGCTCCTAATGCACACTAAGATGCTCAGAGTGTCCAGTGAAATCTGAGTAAGCAACTTCAGTACAGGAAAGAGCAGCCAATGCAGCAGTGCAAGAATGATGGCAAGTCTGGAATTCAAAAGCGGAGTTCCGCCACCTTTGCAAAAATGTAAAGTCAGCGGCTACAAATACTGTGGCTGCTGACTTTTAAGGCTCCATGCACACTGGTCATGTTAGCTGTGTAAAGTCGAGTTCAGGGGTGGACTGACAACTCATGGGGCCCCTGGGTGATAGGGGATCATGGGGCCCCTGTGTCCTCGCCCACACTCAAACCACACCCAAAAAAGCCTATGAAAGGTACCAGGGGCATCTCATGGGGCCCCCTACTGACCCCGGGCCCTCGGGCAGTGCCCGAATGGTCAGTTCACCTCTGGTCGAGATAACAACATGAGTTTTCCAGTGTTTTTTAGCATTTTTGTATTAGTGTTTAGCCGCAGTTTTTCTGCGTTTGCGTTTTTTAGCTTTTTTACACAAACAAAAGAAATAAAATTTTTGCTCAAAAAAAGCCAAAAAACACCAGTTTGACTCGTTTTACCACATTTTTTAGCATTAGATCTACTAAAAAACTCCTCTAGAAACTCACTAGTTCTGGATTTTTTTCCTGGCTGTAGAAAAAAAATGCCAAAAGCCAGAAACAGCAGCTGTAAGAATGTCCAGTGTGCATGAGGACTAATTGTAGGGCACTTACCTGTCCAGGCATCCAGCGGTGTCCTCACGCCGAGCCGATTCTTCAATCAGCTGTTGGGTGCTGGTGCCGCCATCTTAACTAAGGGAAACCGTCATCACCATCTGTTTCCCTAACAGGGACACCAGCAACAAATAAAACACGACAGAGGCTCTAACTGGGGTTCTGGGTTTTTTCCAGCCAAAAAAACGCTGATTAAAGCCTGTGTGTGCATGGACACAGAGGATAACATGCTGGGGAGTTTAATAGTTGTAGAAAAAAATGCCAAAAGCCAAAAACAGCCGCTGTAACAACATCCAGTGTGCATGAGGACTAATTGTAGGGCACTTACCTATCCAGGCATCCAGCGGTGTCCTCACCCCGAGCCGATTCTTCAATCAGCTGTCGGGTGCTGGTGCCGCCATCTTAACTATGGGAAACCGTCATCACCATATGTTTCCCTAACAGGGACACCAACAACAAATAAAACACGACAGAGGCTCTAACTGTTCTGGGATTTTTTCCAGCCAAAAAATGCTGATTAAAGCCTGTGTGTGCATGGACACATAGGATAACATGTTGGGGAGTTTACTGGCTGTAGAAAAAAATGCCAAAAAGCCAAACACAGCCGCTGTAAAAAATGTCCAGTGTGCATGAGGACTAATTGTAGCTCACTTACCTGTCCAGGTATCCAGTGGTGTCCTCACCCTGAGCCGATTCTTCAATCAGCTGTTGGGTGCTGGTGTTGCCATCTTAACTAAGGGAAACCTTCATCACCGTCTGTTTCCTACTGCGCATGCGCAAAACGCACGGTGCTTTGTGAATGGGCAGCAGTCCTCTGGGACCTTGGAAGTGTCCCAGAGGGTTTCAGGGGTGCCGAACTTCTGGCTCAGTTCGTCAAGGAGAAGTGGGAGCGGGTACCTGTCAAAATCAGGTACCTGCTCCCCCTACTCCTTAAAAGGTGCCAAATGTGGCAGCAGAGGGGGGGTAGGAGGCAGAAAAGTGGAGCTTGCACTTGTGGGTGGAACTCTGCTTTAAGGGAGTGTATATATATATATATATATATATATATATATATATATATATATATATTTATTTTTTTATATATATATATATATATTTTAAGAAAAACCCTTCCAGTTGTAACCCTTCCACTCTGTTTTTGTCTGTAATGCCCTGACGGTGATGTGAAAGCTCCCTAACAGGGACACCAGCAACAAATAAAAACGCGACAGAGGTTCTAACCCGTCCTCACACATCGAAAACTATATAAAACGTTTTGGATGAACTACTAGCATCTCTGTACACATCCTGACAAAATCATATATTGAATATGATGAAAATATAATTACAAATATCGCCATCAGAATTGGAGTCTTGATTATCCACCAGTAATTATTTTCATAATCATCCCAGCATCTGTGTGAAAAAATGGGAGAAAAAAGTGGGTTTTAGTACATTTGTATTATCTTTTATGGTAGGGCAAGGATAAAATCCCAGATTGCTTTTTTTTTTTTTGCTGTCTGTAACCCATTGAAGAGGTTTCCTTCCCCTTTCTGTCCTGGAGACACAAGTAGTTAAAGGAAACCTCTACAAAGTGAGGGAAACTCCCATGTCAGACAGTGGTCACCTGAACAGACATCCCCATTGGATTTGTTTTACTGCTTGTTTTGGGTGATATATTTTGGATTTCCTATCATTTTCAGTCTCAAACAGAGGGGTGAATCACAGAGAGAGTAAGAGTTGTAAAGTTTAGGATATATTCATAGTGACAGGTACTCTTTATGGAGATATCGACGGTTTGTTAGACCCCTGATGCCTCGCTTGGCCTCCAGGACATCTGATTAAACACAGATCTACTTGATAAGCTGCTTCCCTAGCCGTTACAGCCACTTCGAAGCCGGAAGTGATGAGGATTTTGTCAATTCTGGTTTCAGTTCATCAAGACGAGACAGTGGAACAGGTTTTCCTCCATTTTTTTTCCTGGGCAGCAACCCAACTGCTTACAGCCTGGGAAAGCAGTAAGGGAATAGGGGCTCCGCAGAGCTGTAAAAGTGATTGGATGGCTGTAGATCCATCTGGATCATTTTTACAAGAATACAAATTATAGCATTTGTAGCACCCCTCTAGTTAGTTAGGGGGAGCTAGCTAGGTTTTTCATTTACAGTCTGAATAGCAGCCTGGTGTGAGTTACCTGGGATGAGTCAGCCAGGTCACTTTGGGATCTGCAGATCAGTTCCTTGATACCTCCCCCTGCTCTAGAAATGTGAGAAGTTTCTAGAAGGCAGTGGGTGGGGGTGAGGAAGGGCTTATCTGCATACTTTAGGGATCTTGGCCAATCCCCAAACAGGAAGCTTGGAATGGGGGCCAGGACAACCCTTAAATATGGGGAGAGCCTGATCAGCATGGGAGTAGTGTTGGGTGGAAGATGATGTGAAGGCTTACGCGTTTCGAAGGGAGATTCCTTCAAAGTGCTCTGAGGAAGAAGGGATCTCCCTTTGAAACGCGTCAACTTCACCCTGAGTCTCCCCTCTCGATGAGATTCGCACGTGTCTCCTACTCCAGTGTTCCGATTTTGGATTTTATTATATACTGTCACTTTTGTGAGTATACATCTTAATTCAATAAAATCACTCTGTTTACTGAGGTAATGCGCAAGGTTGGTGCTGCTTTTTGTATATGTAGATATGCAACAGCCTCCCTTAAACAAGCTTTTGAGTTATAAAAATGACAAGCCAGTTCTGAAAACGTCTTGCATACAATATTTCATTATATGAAAGACAATCTCTTACCCGGTATCATCAAAGCTGATCCTGGTTTTGATCCACACTGTAATTGTAAGAGCTGGCAGACCTAGGGGGAAAAAAAAAACATAACTTTGATACATACATAGGCTTAGAGTATATTCTGTTTTGTGTTGCTTTATGAACAAAATGTAAAAGATCAGATTAAAGCTGAACCACGACAAACGGCACATGAAATCCAGATATATAGGGGCTGGCAAAATGATTTGTATTGCTTTCCATCCTTTCCTGAGATTTACACAACTCTGCCACACAGTACAGCCCTGTCTGGCAGAAGAAGCAACCTGACCTCTCTCTGCTGTCCTTTCAGATACAGGCCTCCACTCCCCCCCCAACCATACCCTGTGACTGGACAGTGAAAGGAGAAGCAGCACATCATTGGGCCCTTTTCCCTGTGTCACTTTGCTCTCTCCTCCTAAGGCCCCATGTACACGGGACAATTCTGAACGATGGAAACTGACTGCTGGAAAACGTAGGTTAAAAAAATGTCTGTTTAGCTGTGTTTGCATACCGCGTTTATGAGCGTTTGCGTTTAGAAGTGTTTTTAACCCCTTTGGCGCTGGCACCTCCCGGCCCTATAAGGGTTTCAGAAGGCGGGGCGGGGTTTAAGGTCATGTGACCGTCGTGATATGCCGGCATGGTGGTCACATGATCGGGAAAGGTCCCGATCAAAATAGGAGATCGGGACTTTTCCGTGAATACCGGACATGTGTGCTGGGAGTGCGCAGGGCGCGCGCTCTCAGCACATATGTTCTTTTTTAATAGAACGCAAATGTGCGGCCGCTCGGGGTCTAGGCCCAAACGCCAGGAGGTCACACATTTGCGCTCGGGCGGCGTGAAGAGGTTAAAGATAACCTCAGGAGACATTCCAAAATGCCCAGAATGCACTGAAAATCAGTAAAAAAAAATAACTATTTCAGACATTTTGAGAGAAATAGAGAGAGCAGAAGCAGAGAGAGCAGTATGTATTGAGATTAGCTGTCTTTTGTTTTGTTTTTTTTGTGGTGTTTGGATGTGTTCCAGCTCATTTCTGTGCAGAAATTATTGCAGCAGTGTCTAACATATTTTCTTTCATGCAAAACCTCAAAGTATGGTGTACCAGGTCCATTTGAGTACCGGGAAAACGCTTTTCATGCATTTTTCATGATGAAAAAAGGCTCTGGACAGCATCTGGAAATGGAAGAGTTGAAAAAAAAAAAATTTCAAGCGGAAATGCTTGTAAACGTGGTTAGCCGCGTTTAGCCGCATTTACATGTGTTAACAAGCGCTTGCCGGTTGAAACGCTGATAAAATCTACTCCTGAACGCAAGTTTTCTGCGTTCAAAAAAACGACTGTAAACTCAACTGCCTGTAAACGACGATGTGTACATGGACACAGGAAAACATTAGGGAGAGTTCAGGGGGGCTGCTGAAAAAAAACGCTGAACAGCTCCTAAACGTGAGTTTATCAGTTGCAGTGTACATGAGCCTAAGAGCATGCTCTTTGTACTGCAACATGTCTGATTTGCTCATTCTCTCCCTTTTTAAATCTTTTGCATTATTTTTAAATAATTAATATTTTGTATAATTTTGATTCTATTTTATGGCACTTTTTTACTTATTTTTATGTTTGTATTTTATTGGATTCTAATGGACATATGGATATTGATAATGGACATACTGTATATATACTTTTTTTTTCTTATATCACAGTGCAGCCCTGATAAAGGGGTGGCTTGAGACCCCTGAAATGCATTGATTACCCAGTTTCTACTTGGCATGGCACTCCATATTTCAGTCCAACCAATATGTTCTCTGTCCTCCAATGTGATCTCTGCTGTACAGGGACTACAGAGGCTGACACCAAGAAAAATGGAGGCACTTACACTGCTATCATTAAAAATATGCATTTAATGATGTATTAGTAATTATCGAGCTCGATTAATTTGTATGTTATGAATATTTGCCTCTAACTGCCTTGTAATAAGATGAATTAAGATTGTCCAAAGATAAGTAAATAGCTGGAAGATACCCAGACTTGAAAAATATATGAATATGAAAATACACGTCTCAAAATATTGTATTCATTTGTGTTTAAAGCGCAATTCCAGAAAATACGCTAATTAATGCAGTTCTATATATTTTTTATTAAGAAATCTTCATATGTATTTTTTAAATTAAACCACTGTAAGTACTTGGATTGACCCGATAACCTATCTTGGAATCCACTGTACAAGAGACTTTAGAATGGGAGTCAGGTATGTTGTATGCAGGGGCGGACTGACAACTCATGGGGCCCCTGGGCAATAGGGGATCATGGGGCCCCTGTGTCCTTGCCCAAACTCAAAAAAGCCTATGAAAAAGGTACCAGGGGCATCTCATGGGGCCCCCTACTGACCCTAGGCCCTCGGGCAGTGCCCGAGTTTCCAAATGGTCAGTCCGCCCTTGGTTGTATGCAAATGTACTAACAATGGGCATGCTGACAGGAGGAGAGAGCAGAACGAGTAGAGAGACAACCTCAGTATTCTGCTAACGCTGCTGTTCTATTACAATCCAAACAGGACGCTTTAGTGGAGAGAAGACACTACTGTTTTTCCACTACAGTTGGTGAGAAAGAAAAGTTGTAATTTTCCTGTGTGCCAAAGCTATGAAAATCTCAGAACTGAAAGGACAAAAATGCAATTCCTTTGGCAAGTAAAATTCTATGTTATATGCATTTATTCTGTTTATTTAGCAGTCTACCTGGAGTTCTGATTCAGCCCGGGTTCACATATATGCGGTGCGGTAAATTGCATGTGATTCGCACAGGAACCGCATCGCATTACTGTACAAATCACATGCGATTTGTGTGCTGTACGATTGGAGACGTACATTTTGTATGGCTCTAATCGCACCGCACTTGCACCAAAAACCCTTTTTTTGGTCCACACTAGAATCGGATCGCATGGGGTACTCACACCTATGCAATCCGATTCTGCACATCGCACCACTTTCGGGGTGTTGTTAACTTAACATACACACTCGCAGCGGTTCGCATGAACGGGGTGCAATCTGATGCGCTGCGGAATTCGCACTGAAAACACTGCGAATTCCACACCGCATCAGTGTGATCCAGGGCTAAAGAAGAAAGCATATTGTTTTTTCAAAGAGTACATATTTCAAGTTTAATTGCAACAGTATAGAACTTTCACATTTGTGTTTGATCTTCTATATTTTTTAATGTATGACATATAGAGATTTGTAGATTAGCTACTAGAAGGTAGTCTCAGGGGCTCAGCCCATACCTGTCTATTTCTCTCTTTTAGCAACTGGAGACATACAATATCAGCCTCATAGGGAGTGGATGGTTTTCAATGTCTGGTAGGCTTGTATTGTGAGAAGCAGCAATAACGCACAACCATTGTGCACTACAAAGCATGGAGTGGTACATATGTTGCAACTGTCAAGAATCGTGAGGAGTACTGTAAATCAATAGTCTTGGACTTTCAGTAATAAACGTATCAAAATTTTTTTTCTTTTGGTTAAAACTGTGCGCAAATATACAGCCAACGCATTTCAAGGGTTCTCACCCCTCTCCAGATCTTTGGTTGATTTATCAGGTGAACATGAAAGTCCCAGATACTGCTAGATCAGTTGGGCAGCACAGTGGCTAAATGGGTAGCACTTCCACCTGGCAGTTCTAGAGTTGTTGGTTCAAATCCCAACCACGGCACCACGTACCTGGAGTTTGCATGTTCTCCCTGTGTGGGGTTCCTCCCACACTCCAAAGAGATGCTAGTAGGTTAAATGGCCCTAGTATGTGTATGTATGAGTGTAAGGTAGGGACTTTGGATTGTATGGCCCTTAAGGGTTAGAGACTGATGTGAATGTACAATATATATGTAAGCACTGCATAAATTGATGGTGCTATATAAGTACTTGTAATATTATTATTATTATACAGGATTTATATAGCGCCAACAGTTTGCTCAGTGCTCTACATTATAATGGGAGACAATACAGTTCAATACACGAGAGGTTCGAGGGCCCTGCTCCTTGGAGCTTACAATCTAGGAGGGAGGGGATAGTGGTACAGGAGGAAATAGCTGTGAGGGATGGAGTGGTAGGAAGAGTGGAGGAGATCGGCAATTAGCTGAGGGCGGGGTAGGCTTCCCTGAAGAGATGGGTTTTCAGAGTGCGCCTAAAGGTGAGGAGAGTAGGTGATAGTCTGATGGATTGGGGTAGGGAGTTCCAGAGGATGGGGGAAGCCCTGGAAAAGTCCTGGAGACGGGCATGGGAGGAGGAGACCAGGGAGCTAGAGAGTAGGAGGTCTTGTGAGGAGCGGAGAGTACGTTTTGGGTGGTATTTGGATACCAGATCGGTGATGTAGTTTGGGGCAGTGTTATGGATAGCTTTGTATGTCAATGTTAGCATTTTGAATTTTTATCCGTTGGGCAATCGGAAGCCAGTGGAGGGATTGGCAGAGGGGGGGTGGCGGATACGGAGCGGTTTATAATAAATAAATATCTTACCTGTGTGGACTCCTCAGAGCCAAACAATTGTTAGGTAAAACTTTCTGGAACCACAGCCAGGGCAACCTAACTTGAGATGCTCGCTGACTTCTCCTGATGAAACCTCCTTTCTTTGTCTTGACAGGCAGCTCAAACAGCATTGTGTTTAGGTGGCATTTTGATAATATGGAGGTTGTCAATCTAAAACCACACTCGGGGCTTCTTTATACTTGCGTTAGTCTTGGGAAAACCAATCTATGGTGGATCTCTTTTAGCAGAGTGGTACAAGAGCAGGTGACAAGCACTAAGGAAGTAATATTGCACAACCCCTATGGAGACGTGGGTTTAATGAACCATCTGAAACTTACCCCCTTCTTGAGATAAATGGGCCACTACCGGAAACACTCTAACACACCCCCTTACATGAATGAACATCTCCAGATTATACAAACACTGTCTCTATTAAACATAAATTTGTCAAGTTGATCCAGGGAATATCCGATTGCCTCTCAGGGGATCAGGAAGGAATTTTTTTCCCTGCAGGAGCAAATTGGATCATGCTTGGTGGCCTTTGTTTTGC